CTTGGGTGAGCATAATTTGCCTGTTTCTCCCCTTCTGTGTCACTTGATCACAATGGCAGTTCTGCACATGTGTTATTGGCTGCCACACTTACCACAAATATGTTTCATTATTTTCAGATATGGGATGGAAACATTCAGAATGTCTCAGTTCTATTATGAGTGCTGCAGTGGCTTTGCATTTGTTTATTTGCAGTGTTATTAATGTCAGGATTTTTTGCACTTAATTTGATGCAAATTGAGGCTGATATAAAGGGGTTTATGGGGTGTTGTTACATGTGCTTTGTTTAATTAGCTGGCTTATCCAATAACACGACACACTGTAAGGCAGCTAGAGCCTAAAATTATGCACTTTATTTTAGATCTCAAAAAGTACAAAATGTTCCACATCATTGACATTATTATTAGAGTATTAAAAAATAAAGTTAAAACAATGTAACTTAAAATAGAGAAAATTCATAACTCTTGTCACATTAAATAGAAAGGTTTGCTAATAAAGCTGTACAGAGTTCACTTAGTTCTTTATTCCAGTTCTAGTTTTTCAGGCTAACAGCTTTCAGTGATATCTGTTGCTTAAGAAAGTCATCACATATCCCTGTGTATTCCTGGAAATTTCCTTCTGTATGTCACCTCTCATATTTGGCTGCAGGGCTGCTTCCCACAGCAAATAGCCCCTTGTACTTTTCAGGAGCCTCCCTGTCTTCCCTAGTTCTGCAGGTTTTCTGCTTTTGGCCTCAAGTGCCTTTTCTTTCTAAATCCACTGACACTGTTTTTCAGCAAGACATCTTCTGCAGGACCCACAGAGCAAACTCCAACTGCATTGAAAAGTTTTATCATTCCTTACAGAAAGGTTTTCTTAGTCTGCTTGAAGACTCAACTTTATAAAGTTTGCAAAATTATGTCATATAATTGTGTCTCCCAGAAAATCTGGAAGTCATGAAAATTACAGCCTTCGTTTATGACACAATTAAATATTGTGTTAGCAGGCAGAAGCTCCTGCATCCACCACTTCTGGACATTCACCCTTGGCCGGGGGATGGATTGCTTTCAAGGGTCAAACAGCACTTAAGTCCCTTTTCCCAAAGGAGTACCCCAGACTCAGTCCTGTTGTTCATCAGTTGTTTGCCAGAATAGAATTATAAATGAGCCCACCAACTCCTTTTGCTCATTTATCAAGGAAAGGTAGTAAAGGTAAAACCAGAACTAGGAGAAGTTCATGTCTATCTTTTGACAGACCTGCAATTATAGCGCTGTTGCTAATATATTTCAGTCATTACCGTATCAGCTGGATAGAAAAGGCTTTGTAATGAAACACAAGTTGATGCTGTTTAGTTTACAGACTAATTTTCCATTAGCAAGGCAATTTACCACTGAACTCTTTAAAGTGCAGATCCATAGCAATTCCTGAAATAAAGACCTACTCATGCAAGTAGATTTTAGTAAGTGGTGAAAAGAGGTAGAATAAACAGCATTTATCCAGGAGCAAAACTAACACTGCATTCATTAAAGATATCTATGCAAAAAAGGGTATAGACTGACAGCAATACTTTAGATTCTAGCAAGCAAATAAATATTTCTGTCCTCAGCTGTCCCATAGAAAACATTCCCTGAATAACTGCAGAAGCGCAAGAATATACCCATTTGCAGATGCATATACCAGTGTAAACTATACAGAGGAAAGTAAGAATGGCAAAAGAAATATATTTTGTATGAGCAGTGAATCAAATCTCTTCCCTTCCTTTAACCCTGGGAAGGTGATTTCTCGTTCATATCTCCTTCTGGTGAGCAAATTAATCTTAAAGCTGTATTTGGAGAGAAAATATAACTGAATTCATGTGTGAAGCTTACCTTTTGAAATTGTCTCATTAGGTAATATTCACAGGAGGCTTAGGTTGGATATTAGAAAAAGATTCTTCACCCAGAGGCTGGATGGGCACTGGAGCAGGCTCCCCAGGGCAGTGGTAACAGCACCAAGACTGACAGAGTTCAAAAAGCATTTGGACAATGCTCTCAGGCACATGGTGTGGCTCTTGAGGTGGTCCTGTGCAGGGCAAGAGCTGGACTCAATGATCCTTGTGGGTCCCTTCCAACTGAGTATATTCTATGATTTTATGATTCTATGACTTTATCATGATTCATTGTTGGAGTTTTTTTCTCTTATACTAGAAGATCTGCCTAAATGAATGCAACACGAATGTAAACAAAAACGTAATATTCCAAGGACTACTGGACAGAATAAAACCGAAGTTTGAATCTGTTTTTTTTTTTTAAATTTAACCCTTAGTTAGGTCTTTGCTCTTTTGTCCTTAACACTGATGATGTGGTTGTAGCTTTCTGTCACTTCTGTCATAGAGGTTTCATTTTGATTGCTGGGCCTTCGTTTCTAAAAGCTAAATAGCCTTATGCAAAAATAATAACCCTTCTGTGAACCACGTGATCGCCCTTGCCATTCCTGCTGCTTGGACCAACTCAGCAGGCAGAGCGTTGGGAAGGTGAGCCCGTGCCGGACAGGCCCCAGTGCTGAATTAGAGCTGGGCTGTTTTTTGAAGAGGAAGATGTTTGTGGGGAAAGAATAGGGGCTATTCACTCCAGAGTTACCCATTTCCCTTTCCTTCCCACTTGGAGTAACTGCTGTCACATCCAATAGCAGTCATATGGGTCATCCCAGCACTTTGAGTCTAAGCTGGTTTTGGCACATTTTTGCTCTTACAGGTTGTTACAATCCAGATTTGAGCTATAAGCTGCCCAGAGTGGTTATGTTTTATTTAAGACTTTTTTAAAGCCTTGTAGTTCGTTATAACCTCAAATTAGCGTCCAGAGAAAGAGTGACACACTCTTCTCTAAGAGAAATTCTTTTAATTCAGTGAGAAAAATAAGATATTTTGGCAAAAGGTTTTACAGGAGTAAAATACAACCAAGAAAAAATATTTCACTAAAACACTCATCACAAAGACCCCTTCCACAGTAAACACCTGTTGGAAACAATCAATATACTAGCTTTAGTAAAACACAATTCATTGGTTTTAAGTTACTCACAAGAGAAGGAAAAGAGGTAAAAGAAGAAAACAGATTAAAGGAGTAAAGAAAGAAAGAAGAAAGAGTGAAGGAGAGAGAGGAAAGGAAAAACAGTTACCGATAAGATCTGATGGTTCACATGGTTCAGGTTGCAGGAGAGGAGAGAAGAAGAGGCTCACATGGAGTCTCATGTATTTATAGAGTTCAGTTTTCCCTCCCAGGCAGGATACCCGGTCAGTGCCTTCCAAGCCAGAGTGAGTTGTGCTGTAGCCAATCACAGGCTCCAGGGGCATGGTGTGAGCAGGCTACCAGCAGGTCTGCCTTGGCTCAGAGCTGGCTACGGGGCCTTCATCTCTGCCATGTGCTCTGCATGGGCTCAGCCGTGTTGGCTCTGCCATGTGCTCTCAGCAGGCTTTATGTGCAGGCCTTACCATGTACCTGCAGGTCTAGGCCCAGCCCTTCCCCACACACACACACACAGAGTGAGTTGGTTCCGACCCATATCAATAATTCAGAGAGATTTGGATTCAGTATCTCACACAGGTCTTACATCTACATCGTCCATGGGAGTTTGGTTCTTAAGCAGGTGGTCAGTCCACACACCTTCATCCATGTCGTACTGACCTTGTCAAATCTCATTACCTACAGGAATAGGGTCTTTTTTTTTCAAAATGACATGACCAACTAAATCTGTGCTGAATTATTTGATAAATGAGAGAGTGAAGTGGGTTGGAAAAATGAAAACCCAAGAAAGTGCAGTGGTATCTTCTGAAATATCAGATGCAATTGAAAGAAAATAACTGACTCCTATAAATTCCCTGATTCAGTATAAATATCTTAATCCTGTCCAGGATGTATTTAGGGTTAAATAATGTAGAGTTATACGACTAAACAGTGGACCACATGCAGCCTTGATGGTCTAAATAGAACATGTATTTTGGGCAGTGAGCACTGTCATTCCTCTTGGGAACCTTTCGGCGCTAGTGAGGACATTCTGCATAAACAGATCTGTTTTAGTGGTTAAAATCAGCTATTTATATAACACACAAGTGGAATTTCATACTGGTATCCTAATCTCAAGTGTTTTCTTTCACCGCCTCTTCTGTTTAAGAGGATCTGGTAACTTTCATCTTATTTCTACTGTAACAACATGCAAACCATATATTTAAGTCAAAATCCTCCGGAGAATAGCATTTAGAAGAAATATTGTGCCATGATTGCTTCTCCCCTAGAACACTGTAAACTGCCTGGTGGTTTAATAGTTTGCTATTTGAAATACCGCATGTTAAAAGATGGTGATCTTAGTATTTGGGACGGCATCTATGATCATCTTCCACAAGTTTAACACTTCTGTTAGATTTGCAGCAGTCTGAATTCTCCTCAGTACTTTTTGTCAAAATATTCAGTAGCTTCCTAGTTAATATTTAGATAAATCAAGTCATTCTGCTTTCAATTCTTCTGCAGTTACACTATTTTTCAAAAGCCCTGTCCCCTCTTTTCAGTGTTACATATTTGATCAGATTCTAGATTTTGGTATCACTTCATCAACTCTTACAGATAAAATATTTTATTTTAACATTTTGAGTTCAACATGAATACTTTTACAGGCTATGGTTAGGGTTAAGGTAAAGCTTTTGAGTTCATGGATATTTCATACTTACATCTTAAATACGTGTTGTTTTATAATAGTTTCTCAGCATGCAGCAACAAAACTAAAACATTGGTTTGTCTTCTGCATTTCAGTATTTGAATCAAGCCTCATTGCTCCCACCAATGGACAAGACAGTAATGGAAAGGAAGATTTTGAAAGTGTACATATAGTTTTTTTAAAGGATTTTGCTGGTCCTACCAGAAATTAAGTAAGCCTGATCACCTGAGTTTAGTTCTTGCTTTGACTTGGAAACTTCTTACTGTGACTAGCATCAGGACTAGATCCAATCTTCTTGCTCATTTGGATGCAACTCTTGTTTTCTCCTGTTTTGTGACAGGTAACCTGGGGTCCCAGCTGGTCGAGTATAAAGAGGAGATGTACATAACGTCTGACTGTGGGAACACATGGCGTCAGGTAGGAAACATAAATTATCAAGGAGCCTGGAAATAATTTTAATGTACCAAATGTGATGAATTTTATAATGCTTAAATAATCTTTAGATACCTACTCTTTTGAAGGAGGGGGCCATTATTATCTCCATTTTTCTTGGAAACCGAGAGATTAAAGAGATGAAAATATTCAAATTTCATTGGAACCTGACAACCTGATAAATTTGAGTCTTTGCAAATCCCTTCTTAAAGATCTTAAAAGTATCTTATGCAAAAAACATAGCGTCTGTTTAGTTTTTTAAGAATTTAAATAATCTTCCTGTGATAATGACGAAGTGGACTTGGGCTAGATCTTGCAGTACAAACATTCCAAGCTAAAAGACATGGCTTAGGTACAAAGGCAGAAATTCTTCAGCTTCATAGTCTGAAAACTGTTATTTAAGCATAAACTTTGTTCTTCATTGAAACTGAGTGAAAACATATTTTCAAAAAAAAAAAAAATAAACCTTTTAATTTCTGTTAGCATGATTTAATAAATTCAGGGAATACAAATACCAAAGTATTAAAAAGAGAACAGTGATGTGGTAATGTGCTGTCTGAATTCCGGATGTCTTTTGTTTCCACTGCCTAGAGTCAGTTAAAACATTGCACATTTATTATGTATCCTAAACTACCTTGTCTCACTGTGGTGGGTTTACCCTGGCTTAATGCCAGGTGCTCATCAAAATTGCTACCCTCCTCAGCTGGACAGGTGAGAGAGAATATAAAAAAAGCTTGTGGGTCAAGATAAGTCACCGATTACTGTCACGGGCAAAACAGACTCAACTCGGGAAAGATTAATTTAATTGCCAATAGATAACAGAGTAGGATAGTGAGAAATAAACCCAAATTTTAGAATACCTTTCCCCCACCCCTCCCTTCTTCCCAGCTCAGCTTTATTCACAGATTCTCTGCCTCCTCCCCCCAGCAGCACAGGGGGATGGGAAACAGGGTCTGCGGTCAGTTCACCACATGTTTTCTCTACCGTGCATTCCTCCTCATGAGGAAGACTCCTCACGCTCTTCCCCTGCTCCAGTGTGGGGTCCATCCCACAGGAAAGAGTTCTTTATGAACTTCTCCAATGTGAGTCCTTCCCATGGGTTGTAGTTCTTCATGAACTGCTCCAGCATGGATCCCTTCCACAGGGTGCAGTCTGTCAGGAACAGGCTGCTCCAGCGTGGATCCCTCGTGGGGTCACAAGTCTAGCCAACAAACCTGCTCCAGCACGGGCTTCCCACGGGGTCACAGCCTCCTTCAACATCCACCTGCTCTATGGGCTGCAGGTAGAGCTCTGCCCCACCATGGACCTTCATGGGCTGCAGGGGCAGAGCTACCTGAGCATGGCCTGCACCATGTGCTTTAGGGGAACCTCTGCTCTGGCAGCTGGAGCACCTCCTCCCCTCCTGCACTGACATGGTATCTTGAGGGCTGTTTTATTTACATATTCTCTACTCTTCTCTCCTGCTGCAGTTGTTGTTGTGCAAGTTTCCCCCCCACCTTCTGAATTACATGATCCCTGAGGTGCTACTGCTGTCCGACTGGCTTGACTTTGGTCGGTGACAAGTCCATCCTGGAGCTGGCTGGTGTTGGCTCTGTTTGGACATAGGGAAGCTTCAGGCAGCTTCTCAGAGAAGCCATGCAAACCCAATACACTCAGCAATGCCTATTCACAGGGATACTTTCTCATGCACAATGCCTATTCTACAGACTAAAGGATAATTTCATTTCTTTCTATATATATATATATGGCAACAATGCACAATATGATGTGGATTCTACTTATAACTTGTGGTGCCGCATCCAGGAGAGAAATTGATCAAAACTGGTCTACTCTGGCCTCATCGGGAGGCCTGGAGACACACCATCTATAACGCAGCTGTCTCCTTTGAGAACACACGCAGGATCACCCTCGAGGAAAAAAGGCAACGCAGAAAGAATCGTGTATTGCAGGATACACCATCTAAGGAATCTTTCTGCTGTGCCTTTTGCAATCGGATATGTCTGTCACGTATTGGCCTCATAAGCCACCAGCGTGCCTGCAGCAAATGTGGATAGAGCCTTCCCAGATCTTCGTTCGCGAAGCCTAGCCATGATGATGTAATCAAATTTAGTTATTTTCTGAGAACAATTAAATGTGAAAATGTTCTCAGTAGTGTTATTGAGCTTGGGGAATTTAGGGTTAAAAGAGGAAAATACAGACAGTTTCTTATATTGCTATTGTAGGATGCCATTAATACTCTGCTTTTAAAAGAACTTTTAAAGAGAAATATGTTATTTTTGTCATGAGAATGTCTTTTGTTGTTTAAAAGATAAAATTTTATGCCAAATCCCTTCTTGAAACCTAGAATATGATAAATAGGTGTTTAAATGCAAAACTCTTCCAGGATTTACAATGAGTACTGTGTTTTTCAATACTTCATAGAGATCTCTCTCATAATTTATTTTCAGCATTTGCCAAAGATTTATAGTTTTTCTGGGGTTAAAAATAGGAAGAAAAGAGTGAAGGGGATCAAATCCGTATTTTACTGCTTTTTATTTGTAAGACACTCAGGTAAATGATGTTTGTTGCAACTTGACCCTAAGGTGCCTATTCATGCTGTAAAACCAACCATAAACTGATCCCTCATTGTGACAATCAAAATGGAAAACACCATTTATTTTAATTAAAACTACTTCAAAGCCTTTGAAAGAGCTTACTCAATCCTAATATTTGCAATCACAATTAAATAGTAGATTATTGCATGTATTTTATGGCCTCACTGCTCGTGACCAAACAGATCTTCCAGATGACAGCAGTACATTTCCTTTCTCTGCTGGCGTTCATACAATGAGAGAGAAGGCTTCAGTCAGGTGACATGGGAATTTAAATAATTCAGTAAACTGCAGGTCTTGTGAGCTGGTGAATGCAGAACAAATCCCATGCTTTGACACAACTCTTCATCTGAGTTTAAGTTTCTGACTTGAAGACTTTGTGGTTGTCATTAGTGAGTGCCTGGCACCTTTGTCATATGCTCACAAAATGCTGCAGGGCTGTTCACAGACTAGAAGGGGAGCAGTCTGTGTGTATAGAGGCAGAGCAACTTAGGAGAAAAGGCAGTTCAAGGAATTAATTAAAAACTTTCTTGAAATAATAGCAGTATTGGTTCATAGTAATATAGAACTATGGGGAAGGTCAAAGATCATGTAATTCAACCATGTGCTCTGAGACAACATCAAATGTACTAGGAACGTCTCTGCAAGAACTGTTTGTTAATCCTTCACTGTAAGAGATTCAGGCTACATGGTGTTTCACCATTCTTCATAGATTTTTCTGAATATTTTACATAAGCTGACTGTTCCTTTTGCTCTTGTTCTTACAGTTTCACAAATTCTACAGGGTGATTTCATAGAATCATAGAATCATAGAATCGATTGGGTTGGAAAAGACCTCCGAGATCATCGAGTCCAACCCTTGGTCCAAATCCAGTCCATTTACTAGATCATGGCACTCAGTGCCACGTCCAATCTGCGTTTAAAAATCTCCAGGGATGGTGAATCCACCACCTCTCTGGGCAGCCCATTCCAATGCCTGATTACTCTCTCTGTAAAGAATTTTCTCCTGATATCCAACTTAAATTTCCCCTGGCGGAGCTTAAGCCCGTGCCCCCTTGTCCTATTGCTGAGTGCCTGAGAGAAGAGACCAACCCCCACCTGGCTAGAACTTCCCCTCAGGTAGTTATAGACGGCGATGAGGTCACCTCTGAGCCTCCTCTTCTCCAGGCTAAACAACCCCAGCTCCCTCAGCCTCTCCCCATAGGACTTATGCTCCAGTCCCTTCACCAGCCTTGTTGCTCTTCTAGTGCTTTTTTTTATTGGAATATTATTTCTCTGTGTTAAATTCTTTTGCATCAAAGCAACTTGGAAAACCTTTGTTTAAGCGAGAATACTTGTTTTCCTGCAGACAGCTCAGGAAGTGGATGGTAACAACTTTAAGCACAGCAAAACAGGCTAAAATTCCAGCCTTTTAACTCTAGGAAGGTCCAACTGGCTCATTCTCTGTAGGAAACTTCCGTTTCCAGCTTTGAATCTAGAAATGGATGACACTTGATGAGAGAAGCAAGTGACTTTGGGAATTTTTGGTTATTTTTGAAACTTCTGCATTGCAGAGTAAAATCGGATCATTTCAATGTGTTTTCACTGATTTCATGGGGTTTTAATAATTGCGCCCAACAGATATTCTGACCTGAAATAGCTGCTGAAGTTGTTGGGACAGACACAGAAAAAGAAACATTTAGAGCAGAGGGCACAGGGGAAGAGAAGTTGATATTGTGATTATAAGGCATATAGCGTGCTTGAAAAATTACATAAATAAGTCATAAAAATCTTGTTCCTTCGTGGCTGTCTATTAGTAAGGATCACAACACATTTGTTGCTTGGCTTTAGTTAGTGGAGTGACAAATATCAAAATTTGTGTTTTGCTGTGAACAGGTATGTTCTCAGTTTTGAACTTCAGCTCTGACACTGGGACCACCTTTACCTGAATCCTTTGCAAACTGTTTGTCTTGTTTTCTTTTCCAGAAAGTAGAGATAAATATTTACTTTTATGCATGAAATTGTTAATCCTTTTCAATGTACTGAAGATGAAGGGTTGCTTTCATAAGGAATTTCATACAGTTTGGTTATAAAATGTTTGAAGTGTGTGCAAGAAAAGCATGATATAATGATGACAGTTTGGTTATAAAATGTTTGAAGTGTGTGCAAGAAAAGCATGATATAATGATGACATTGATATGTGTGTAAGGTGTCTGCTGTGCTAAAGCAGGATACTAAAATGATACGTGGGGCACTGCCATGCTGCTTCTCTGGGAAAACCTTATTTGGATAAACTGGTACAGATACCAGCTTCCTTTATTCTCATTATGATGCTGAAGCTTTGGGAGACTTCATGTCCCAGCATAAACTGTTGCGTTTTGATTTGAGCGGAAGTTCAAACAAAGTTTAGAGGAGGATCAAAACTCTGCTTGCTTTTCTGACTCCAGCTGATCTCATCCTTTTGAAGTGCATCTAAAATTAATGTCTGTCCTTTACTGAAATCTCTTCTAAAATATGCAGCTGTGTAGAATAAGTAGATAGGACTATAAATGCCTTGTATCAGGGTTTTGCCTGTAAATTTGCAACATTGAAGAACTGATCAGACACTTGAAACCCTAGGATTCCCATAAAATATGTTCTTACTAGATGAGAGGAAGACTGAATTCTCAACCCAAATTAAATCCTTACTATTTTTTGAAGTAATTGTGGGTGTGCTTTAGGATATTTCCACTGCAGCTCTGGTTCAGTCTTGCTGATAAATTCTCTAAATGTAGCACTCACTTTTGCCAAAAAAAAGAAAAAAAAGCATTTGTATTGTCAATATTTTTTCATTCACATAGCAAAGTAAAGCTAACCTTTATGGGTTTTACCTTTGCTTTGACCGCATGTTTGTCTAATGTGTGTGATAACTCTCACCTTACCACTTGCTCTTGTGTTAAATGAACTTTCACATGTTAATAACACAAGTAAACCATGTCTTAAAACAGATTTCAGATGTAAGAAAGGGAACATATCTGCCTGTGGATTTATTTTAGTACTGCTGATGACTTCTAGAAAAGGAATTTAAATAATTTAGGAAATTTTTAATCATTTATACCATTAAATCAGTATTACATGTATTTTGGTTCAAAACTCAGAGTGGCCTCCATGGGAGATCACGTGTTTGAACTTAAATAAATCACTGACACTGGAAATGCAGAAAACATGCTTGTACCAATTATTTCAAGTTCTGTAGTTTCTGGGTAACGTGAGAAAGTCAGGGGCAGCAATACTTTTCCTATTTTTCTTAGAATTAAACTACAAAGCATTTTATTCTGCAAGGTACACAGAATATGGCAAATACCAAAGTAAGGTGATAGGTCACTTGGTGATGTATAATAGGAAGGAATGCAGAATGCACACTGGGAGAAATATCATCTTGGGCTAAAATCATTTTAGGCAGTTTAATCTAACTGTGATTTGAACCTGAACGTTTTGTGATCCACCTACTTAACTTCCTTTTCTTTTACAGCTGGAACAAATACAGGAGTTAACCTGACTTTTATGTCCTTTTCAGTTTGAAGTGTGGACATTGTAAAATATAAAAGTCTATTAATCCTTGTTTGCTTGTACATTTTATTTCAGCTGTTTTATACATTTGCTTAGCTGGCCTTTTTTTGTCTGACTTGTAGGTCTTTGAAGAAGAGCACCATATCTTGTACTTGGACCATGGTGGAGTTATTGTGGCTATCAAAGACACCTCTATCCCTCTGAAAATACTCAAGTAATCCTACAGTCAATTAGAGTAGAGCTATTGTGTATTCAAGACCTCAGGCAAAGTTCAGAGTTAAAGATAAGCATTTTAACATGATCATGTATGAAACACAGGTGGAGTCACCTTAATTTAACATTCATTAAGTCAATAAAATGCAATTGGATGTTTTCTTAAAGATTATTTCATGGTGCTGAAGATAGCATGGCATAATGCATTAATCATAATAAAATTCCCTTGCATCAGTGTAGGGTTTTTTTGCTTCAAAGGCTATTCTGGAACTCTACAGTACAAGCCATGTTCACCATTGATTTTTATCTTCTGCTGGTTGACACCAGCAGTGTATGTCAATTATGCTCAACCTATGATGCTTATGTGGCTTATGCATGCAGTCAGGATAGTAATTGGTACTGTAATAGATCTCTATCCTCTCCCAGGGCCACAGTGAAATTGGAGAATAGCCCTGAGTCTCTCTGGCAAGAGCAATATAATGTAGACTTTGAGAGCCAACAGGCAAAGTTATGTGCGCTTATGTGCTGTGTAATATGGTCTGCCAGAAACACAGTTTGTAGTGTGCATAGATCCTGTCATAACAGTGATAATGCAGCGAGTGACCTTCTCAGCTTCTTTGGCTGAGAAGGAAAGGTTTGCTGCAAAGCATTTTGTTATAAAATATCAAGTTTTAGACTGCATGATAGTGCAGCAAAATATGGTAACGTTATGCAATGGCATGCAGAACTATGATTTGCAGCATAAAAAAAACTGTAAGAGATCTTTATCACTTGTGACTAGCTTCATTTTTGCAGAATTGCATACAGTAATAGGAACTAGCTGTGTACCTGTTTAGCTAGAATGAGTCATCACTAACCTACTATCCAAAAGACCTGGAGGAAATGTACAGAAGAAAAGAGACTTTGATTCCTAAATTTGGGCTGCACAGAATCTCTGAAATATGTTCTGTGGATTCGTCAACATCTTCTGCAAATTTTTAAGTGGCTGGTAGCAGCTGTGAAGGGCCATCATCATCTCGGTGCCTGCAGTTACTGCATCTCCCACATGTTTTAGCAGTTGGGCTCTTTTGCCTCTCCTATTTCACTGACCTCTGCTTAACAGGTCTCTAGTCAGAGGCTACTAGAAAGAATGAAGTGTAAATTAACTTGCTTTTGAAGCCACAAGGTAGGAAGATAGTTTGTTGACAAAGCTCTTTTTATCTCCCTGAGAATTTTTATTGTTGTGGCAAATTTATCATACACCTTCTCATAAAGATGTGAACCACTGCATATGATGCTGAAAAAATATCACATTACTATGATACACTGTCTAAGCATATTGTATTTTTGTGATCAAAAATCCTAGGCTTTAGTAGTGAGTTGGATTTTTTTATTAAGTGAATTCTGCTTTGTATAGTAATAGTTGGAAATGAAAACCATTTCTGCTTTTTTACAGGTTCAGCATAGATGAAGGCCAGACTTGGAGCACACATAATTTTACCAGCACTTCAGTCTTTGTAGATGGATTACTTAGTGAACCTGGAGATGAGACACTGGTCATGACGTAAGGTTTTGGTTTCATCTCTGCTCTCAGGGCTCTCTCTGCTTATGCACTTGAGCATATTTTCAGTTGTGCATGTTTGAGATAGTCCTTGAGTCAGTTGCTTTTGCTTCTTGCAGTCACACAGACTCTTACACTGATGTCCAAACTGCCCTGGTATGTAACCTGACTTAGAAATTATCTGAGTGCAGTATTTCAGATTGTAAAAAGGATTGTGTTCATAAGAAATCTTGCAAAGATACCACCAGGGAAAGTGGAATAATAAAACTGCAGTACAAATCTGAAAAATGTAGGGGAAAAAAACCCCTATTTTCTTCATTTTTTTTCCCTATGGATTTTTAGTCAGACATCAAAAATGTTAAATATCTATTGTCTTCACAGTGTAAGCAACTATATTGTTGTCCTAGTAACTAGCATTGCAGTACTTTGTGTAACCAAGCACTGTGCTAACAAATGCCTGTTTTTATTCTGTGCGGTGACTGAGGCAGATGCTGTGAATAGAGTTAAAAATAGCCAAATTCTGCAACTCAGGCCCCTGTTTATCTGTCTCTTTCCAAAGGGCCAGGGACATCTGGATCTGAGCTGAAGGTTTTGCTCCATCTCCACAATAAATGCTAATATTTTAGAAGTGTCTGAGAGTAAGAAACACCTGTCCAGTTTGGGAGAAAGGCACTTGCTGGCTGCTCCCAGAAAGGGGAGTGCACTCAGAGATGTGCAGGTTGTTGTATGTGCTGCTATCACAGCAGTTTGTGCGATCCTTTATAATGGAGCTCAGTGTCTTCATGACAAGCTTTTTCTCCTAGGAGTTACAGATAGAGCTACCTTTGACCAGTAGTATTTTCCCCAGGGAAAAATAAATTAATAGCCCAATGTGGACTTGTGTAAAGGATCCTCAGCAAAACAGAAATCCTACCCGATGTACTTAAAAGCATTGTGCCGACTTCATAATGCTGTACTGCACAGAGGTGAATTTGGTCTCTTAGTTATTTCTTTCTTTCTCCACTGCCTCATTTATCCTCCATTATACATTTATGGCCTGAGAAGAACAGTATTATCCCACCATCTTCCCCTTCTCTCAAGCACAGGTTTATTTATGGTATAATATATACCACATGAAGACACTTATACCTCTGAATGAGGGATTTATTTCCATTGACTTCAGTAAAAGCAGAGGGATCAAAAGCTTATCCTGAACTGTACTTACTGGCAGATAAAATGATGTGTGATGACTATATGCTCTGGATTGGTTTTTTTCTTATTAAGTATCATTAAAAACAGTGATTTGGTGATGATGTGTTTAAATACTGGCTGAATGGACTAAAGAGCTCTTGTAAAACACGATACCTTTTTAAAATCATCAATCTGAAATATATAAAACTGTAGCTAGTTTTGGTACATGAGCCCAGATTGACAAAAAAGCATCATATGACATATATTTCTAAAGGCAGAACAAGAGTATGACTCCAGCATCTCAATGCCAGACTTGTAGGATCTCACTTTTCAGCTAGTTCTACAGAACATGGAGGACATCAAACATTTAATATCACGGACTGGCCCTGAAAACACTTTCAACCTTCCTGCCAGAATCTGAAGATAATGAGAAGAATAAACCTGCTGTATGTGTTGTGCTGATGCTGTTGTATCAGCTTCCTTGTCTCTCCTGCTGCTTTTGATTGCAGCTTTACCTTAAGGGTGATGTTGTCAGCCCAGCGGTGCTCGGTCTGACTTAATGTCAAGACATTTTGTCGTTCTGTCTGGCTTAGTTCATTTTCTCTGAAAACTTATTCTTGCACTAAGTTGTTGTGCTTGAGTTCATCTACAGTGATTTGCTGGTTTTGAGTAATGTCATCCCCCTAATACACACTCCCTGGAAAAAAACAAGAATCAGCTATGCCACATTTTTCATTTTATTAGATAAAAATTTCTTCTGAGTAGAACATGGTAAGATGAACCTGTGTCTGGTAATGGAAATAAATTAGTAGTGTCTTTCACCTTGAGGAATCCTCAAATCCATTACTAAGGACCTAGTCTGACATTTTTCAATAGTATGGGAATTTGATTTTCTCCCTTTAGTATGAAGGTTTTTTGAATAAAGACTTTGAATAAAGAGTCCAATGTCAAAATGTGCATAGATTAGGAGAGAGAGCATAATTCTGAATTGGGAAGGTAATAACTGTAAAAGTCTGCAGCAAAATTGAGGAACAGACAGTATTTTATTTAAAGCTTCTAGAATAAACTCACAAAGGAGTCAAAGAATATTTTTCTTGTATAGGAAATCACTGTTACAGTAGGGTAAAGTCCTATTTCCACTGAAGTCAACTTAGGGATTTCCTTCAAGGTTTTTAATTTGTATTAAAAGAAAAAAAAATCCATAAAAGGTTATCTGGGAAAGATATTAAGGGGCCTGGTAACACTATCTGTAAGAGAGATTTCTCATCCTCCAGCATGGTGTCTGGGATATTGACCTGACTTCGAAGTGACTTGCATTTGAATTCCAGTTCTGCCTTAACTTATCCAAAGTCACAGAATCATAGAGTCACAGAATGCTTTGGGTTGAAAGGGCCCTTCAAGATGCCCAATGCCCCTGCCATGAGCAGGGACACCTTTCACTAGAACAAGTTGCTCAAAGCCCATCTGACCAGGCTTCCACTTCCAGGGATGGGGTATCCACAACTTCTCTGGGCAACCTGTTCCATTATCTCACCATGCTCCCAGTGAAGAATTTCTTCCTAGGATCTAATCTCAGCTTACCCTCCTTCATTTTAAGGCCATTCCACTACATGCCCTTGTGAAAAGTCCCCCTCCAGCTCTCTTGTAGCTCCCTTTCAGGTACTGGAAGCTACTGTAAGGTCTCCCTGGAGCCTTCTCTTCTCCAGGCTGAACAACCCCAACTCTTTCAGCCTATCATCATAGGACAGGTGCTTCAGCCTTGTTGAACTTAATAAACTCTAAGCAGGCCCTCGTCTCAAGCCTGTCAAGGTCCCTCTGGATGGCATCCCTTCTCACCACACAGTTTAGTGTCACTGAAAAACTTGCTGGGGGTGTGCTCGATCCCACTGTCCATGTCGCCAGCAAAGATGTTAAATAGCACCAGTCCCAGTAGTGACCCCTGAGGAATGTCACTCGTCACTCTTTTCCATTCTAAAATGAAGTGGTCTGGTAAGCTTTACTGAAGAGGCAGGAGAATGCAAACCTGGTTGCCTCAAGTCTTCATTTTGGAAAGTTTTGTGTTTTCTCCAAAACAGAGAAGAAAACCAAATGTTAACTTGTCAAAAGTTTTCATAAAACTGAGTTGTCATCCGCCAGTCAACATTAATCTAAATCATTCATCCAAATCCCCTGCAGTATTCAAAATATGTACACACAAATGCCAAGGAAAATATATTTTATTCCATTGTGCTCTGCAAAAGACCTAGTCAAGATTTTTAGGAGTTTTAAGTGGTAAAGTATTCAAAAACTTTAGGAAACTCATTCTGTATAAAAACCAAATTCTAAAGAGACCTAGTTACGAGTTTTAGGAAGGATAAGTAATAAAGTATTCATAAAGTTTAGGAAACTTGATCTGTGGGAAAAGCACCTTCTAAATGAAGAACTCAAATCTACTGTTTATTTTTACTTAAATAAATAAATAGTCTTCGTTAAGAAATTTTCTCAACTGATTGATATATATTATCAAAATATTGCATGCTCTAGTAGGTTTTATTTTGTGCTAAATTCTGTAAGAACGAAAGGTACTGCAACCCAGTTTTATACTTAACAATATCTTATATTTGGGAAAAATTACTTAATAACACTGGATCGGGTAACTACCTAGCAGTGCAAAAGGAAGAATTTTTGTGCGTCTGAAATATTGATGTTCCTCTTCAGAGGAATTAGTTAATGTAATGAAAGTTTCAAGCCTGTTAAAATTGCTTCTAAATCACATTTCATCTTCTGAGAGTGTTTCTCAAACCAGGTTATTTAGATTGCAGTGTAAACCCAGTAGGCACAATAACCATGGTTCCACAGTCCATGGCCCCTTTTAAAAGGCCAATAAGAGGTTACATAGAAGGACTGCTTTTCTATGTCAGGTAGAATCAAAATCTTCCTCATGGGTAATTGTATTTTTTCCAGAGGGATGTTTTTTTCTATTGTGTCATAGAGTAGCAACTTAGGATGCTGCTGGGAACTTTATGACATCTCTGAACTGAAGAACCCCTGCATGCCCATTTTTCTGTCTTGCAAGTTCATTGTTGCATTCCTTTTGGGTTCATAGGTGATAATGGAAACAAGAAGATAGTCAAATTACTCAAAACCAGGTGGATATTAACAGGTGTTAGATATTAGGGAGAGCCATCTGGATTTTTGCAGCTGTTGATTTTGCTAGGAATGTCAACCTCACCTTTAACAACATAAATAAGTCAACATTACATGTAGTTTGTGGGGCTTATTGTGCCACTCATGGCAGCACACTCCTGTTGTCTGAGTATCTTACTAGGTGGAGATACTTCTCTGTATTGTGAATGCTTCACCACTAACTTTCTCATACTACAGCACTTGTAAAAGGTAGATAGATGGTAGATAAAGCCTCATAAGAGAGAACAGCTGATTTGCAAAGGCAAATTCTAGATTATTTTTGCAGCTAGTTAATCTCTTGCTCAGTTATTCTGCTTTCTGCGTGAGAAAGAATGTACGTCTGTCAACAGATGGAGAAAACATGGTGAAAAAAGCATTCAAAAAATAAACTTGTTCCTCCAATATAATCTAGGTATCAGTTCATGCAGGTGTACAGGTGCCTGTTTAGTAGCAATCTAATGCTTTTGCTGTCATCTCTGTAGACAAAGATGTTAGCAGAGGAAGTGCATTGTAATGTCACTGCCTTGGAGCCAAGACCTGTCTCTCTCTCTCTGCTCAAAAGAAGTTCAGTGGGTGAAGTTTTGTTTTTTTAATTTCTTTCCTTGAAGCTTCATAATGTACTCAGAAGCATGATGCTTTCAGTGTCACTCTAAAGCCCATATTTAGAA